TTTGTCCATGCAATCAGCACGAATTCAAACATCCCCTTCCCGCCCCCAAACAACTTCTCTAATTATTGCTCACATCTAGAAGAGGGTAAAAATAAGCAATCAATTAAGAACAATCTCTGTCTCACCTGTAGGAAGTCAGTCCCAGGAATTAAAGTATTGCAGCACTCCAACCTAAAACTGTACTGTCCTAGGAAAGTGCTGTTTTGAAGAATTAACTTGAAATTTTCAGCTTCATCAGCGCTGCTGTTTGTTTTCTCCTGACCCAGCTGCCAGTAATTCTTCTGAGCCAGTGAATTACTTCCAGAAGCCCAACACGTTCACCTACTAAAATTTAAAGTTAAAACAATTAGGGACACACAAACACACACACCAAAACAAAAAAAAAACCAAAACAAAAATAGTGAAAAAACAAAATTGAGACAAACGCACTCCACACATTACATACTTCATGTTAGTGAAGGGTTTGGACACACCATGCAATGCCAATGTCCTAGGACCTCAGTGTGCCCCTGCACATATTAAAAGACAAATTTGTAAAACATCTGATAACTAAGACAAGGAGAAAATTATGATTATTCAGTAACACTTGTGGATAACTGAAACCTAAATAGATAGTAAACAACAAGCATACCTACTTGAGGCTCCTCTGATCTCTCAACTGTGAATGCCTCAGTTACTGGTGACACTGCAGTAAAAGACATCAGTAGTCGACTGATGGCGTGTTGCCTCCTTGAGCACAGCACTACTTCTAAGTAGGTTTATGCATCACTTCGTATGTATTATCACTCAAACAGTCAACAAAGAAACATTTTTCCTTTCTAAAATGTTAAACCATACATGTGTCTGTACACTGCATGACTGAAAACCTTGTTATTTACTAATGCAGCCAATATTTCACACGTATCAGCTACTTTCTTGTTCCATTCACAGACTTCAGGAAGACAAGTCAGTGAACAAGAAGTTTGCTGTGTATACTGTAAGAAACAGCTCTTCCAAAAACTCCCCCAGATGCTTCCCTCACAGTGACTGAATGATCATCCCCTTTCAGGTAAGGAAACAGAGCATGAATTGAATGATGCGAGCTTTTGATAAGCTAAATTAAAAGTGATAATAAAAGTCAATACAAAACATTTTCAAATGTAAAACATGCAAAAAGAACCCCGTGGTATCACTAACGTGTTATCTGTCTCCACTGATGAGCAATGAGGTGGCATCTCTCGCTCCTCTTTCACAGTGACAATGCTGAAGTCTCCATGTTCAGAACAAGCAGCCTCTTTAGGCAACCGGTCACCATCATCATACCTGCAAACCCAACCCAAAATTCTAATTTCAATGTATTGTTCTGTGAAGATGTTTTGTTTTCTCTAGACTACCATTACATATTTAACAATACAAACAAGAAATTGAACAGAAAAGCTTCTAGAAATGATAGCCAAATTATACACTTGAGCATACAGCTGATTTTATTTTCTCATTCCTTATATATTCCCATCTCAGCTGCAACCTTTTGAGTACTATCAAGAAAATTATTTCATTTGCCCCCTTCACATATAAAGAGAGTACACTACTAACGTTCCGTCAGCTGCTATTAAGCAAGCACTGTCTGACAACGTTCTTTCTTCTTTCACAGTGATTCTTCTCACACCCCCAGAGAGGGGACAGATGGGAGCTTTTGTCAGCGGGTCATAGCTGTCATACCTAGAAACAAAACACAGCTGATGTGGATGCCAGGAATTTACATGGTATTATTAAACAGAAGAGCATGTTGACAGTCTACTCACAAGTCCAATAAAAACCCAGCGACATCTGCATCATTTCTGAAATCCAGTTTTTCCTTCAGCGTCAGCCATCGGTCGATATGATTTCCAACATAAACCCTGGTTTTCCCTCTCCTCCTATCAAGACTTTGTTTTCTCTTTTTCTTTTCCAAGAAAGACAACACTGGGGGTCTTCCACACCTCTTCGTTGGCAGCGACATCGTAAGCCTAGCAATAAAGAACAGATCGCTTAGGGAGAAAGGTTATACCTTAACACTGAGAGCCACGGCGGCAGAAGCTGCTCCCAAACATGGGACACGCTTCACTTCTACGAAATTAAGGCCCCAAAACTCTGCGATCAACTCACGAGCTGCGGCGCCCGTCCCTCCCCAGGCTCCTCCCACCCCGCCCCGCGACCGCAGCCCCCGCCGCTCTCTGAGCGATGCTTGCAGTAGTGCCGCAGCGCGGGGCCCTCCGCAGCCCGGTCTCCCGCCGTCCCCGAGGGGAACCACCGCCCTCGCGGCCCCAGCCAGCCTCCCACCTGTCCGCTTCCCACCTGCCCTCGCCGCGAGGTGCTTCCCCTCCTCCCAGGGAAGCAGCCCGCCCGCGCACAGCCCGCCGCAGAAGCGCAACTCCCGCCGGAGGTAAACAAGGGACACGTGACCGGCGCTGCGCGCACTGATGACGTACGGCTCCGCTGCGATGAGGCGCGTCGCGTGCTGATGACGTACCGCCCCGCTGTGATGGCGCGCGGGGAGCCGCGCGTGCTGATGACGTACCGCCCGCTGTGAGGGGCGCTTTGGGATGCGTGCTGGAGTAGCGGTTCTAAGCCTTAAAAATCCCTTTTGAAACGTTAAAATGCGCGGTTAATTACAGATTCTCCTCCTCGCAGCAGCATTTAAAGACGCTGAGGTTAGAAGCGGTATCTGTAAGGTACCAGCGCTGACAGCAATCGCGCAGTCCTGAGCTGGAAGGGACCCGGGGGGATCGAGTCCGACTCCCTGCCCCACACGGAACCGCCCCAAAGCACGCAGAAGGCGCTTCCCGTCCTGTACACCTACGAGGGATCGCTTTTAATTTGGCTCCAGTGACGGTTTTGTACTGGTTGGGGTTTCCATGACTGGTAACCAACCACACGACAGCCCTGTCACACGGCATCAGCGTTACCACAGCTGAGCAGATGGTGATCTGGAACAGTCAGCACTCACTGGCACAACACAGCTTTAAACATTCGCTGCGTAAGTCCAGAACGAGGGTCACACTGCGCTTCTGCCATGCAACAATTCCCAGCATGAATTGCAGGACACCTCGTGAGCAGCCAGACTCAGGAGCAAAGCCAGGACCGTCCCCTCTGCTGCCTGTTTGACTTTCGCACTGAAAGGGAAATGCTACATAAATCCCACTAAAAGCAAAATGAAACCAATTCCATTTGAAAATTGATTTAGAATCAGAACCCATTTGGAAGACAAGATTTGAAAGCCATGCTGTCACAATGTATGATGTCAGATATCCTATCGGTTTCTTAGTGCTGCCATACACTTCTGCTTACACATACATTCTTAAATGTCTCAGAAGACAAACCACTTTTATTAGAAATATTTATGGGTGATTTTACCTAAAGAATGAAAGGACAATCACACCTGCTGATTTTATTTTTCTACTGTCAATTTTGATGGTTAACGTAAGTTAAAGAAGTTAGCTCAAAAAGGAAGAGACGACTGAAGACTGTGTAGCAACATTTATTTGATTGCTGCAACTGCTAAGAAACGTGACCCAAATAACATTTTTGTTCTTCTTTTGTCCAATATTTAGATAACTTGAAAAAAATATGTTTAAACTTCTCATTGTCTTTTATCATTTACAACAGAATCTCAGCAGGTTTATTTCAGTGTGCAAGTTAATTGCAAATTATAATCTGTAAAAGAATTCTTGTAGCATAATTACAGCAGTCAGCTGAGCAATGCTCGCCTGGAAATCTCAGAATACCTGAGCTGAGGAGTTAACAGCACCCTCAGCTCAGCTCCTTCTGGGCCTCTTCTTCTTTTTAAACACTCTAACTAGATAAAGAATGAGTATTTACTGCACCAATACAATATTTACACATTTTTTTTTATTACTGATGCATCACCTGTTGGATGGACAGAGCAAAAGTGGGCAGGAGTGAAGTCTGCAGGTAGCTGTGTGGGAAACACACCGGTCTGGCAGATAGCTCAGCAGTAGTGCTGTTTGTGCAGGGTGTGTTGAATTCACACACTGGGGTAGATGGGAAGGGCCTCCAGGTATTTACAGAACGTCTGAGAAGTGTGAGCTGAACCAGGGCTGAGCAGATGTCAGTGCCAGAGCCCAGAGACAGCAGGAGAGAGAAAGGACAGGGATAAAACCTGAGAGAATTACATTCAGACAGGCACTGCCCTGTGGTAATGCTATAATCTGAGCCCCGAGGCAAGGCCCGAAAGGGCCAGAAACCCACAGCACTCCTCTTGTTGGGAGTCGTTTCTCTGCAGCAGGTTTTACAGGCGTTATTGCAATCCTCGTGCCTGTGCTGAAGGGAACTTCTGGACTAAGCTGTGTAACCCTGAGGCCTCAGGGTCTCAGCTTGAAGAGAACAACACAGAGCAGAATGCAGGAGGTGCTCCAGGCACCTTCACTCAGGGTTCCTCAGCCCTGTGCCTTCAGGGTCAGTGGGTGCCGTGTGGGGAGCACAGCAGCGTGTGAGTGAGGCAGGGCGAGCTGCAAGGCTCTGAGAGCTGAGAAGGGCCGGCATGGCTCGGGCTGGAGGGGCCGCACATCCAGCCGTGCCCTGCCGTGGCGGGCTGCCTCTTAACAGCTCAGGCTGCCCAGGTACCTGGTAGAGTCAGGGCAGAAGTAGAAAAAGAAAAAAATATGGAACGCTTCACGAATTTGCGTGTCATCCTTGCGCAGGGGCCATGCTAATCTTCTCTGTATCGTTCCAATTTTAGTATATGTGCTGCCGAAGCGAGCACGACCTACTCTACCGTCTCAGCGGTATTTATAGCCCAGATCACTGACCTCTTATAGGATCGGGTGAGCCCGCGGTGAGGCAAGCACAAAGTGTGTGCTAGGGCACACAGACAGCGCACGGCACTGGCAGAGGTGCGGGGCAGCGTGCGAGGCAGCTTACGGGGAGCGGACCTGAGGGGGCAAATCTCCCCTAGTGAGCACCGCGCTATGCAAATATGCGCGCAGCACTGTGGGGCGGCGGGAGGGGCGGGCTGCCCGCTGGTGTGCGGGCTCGGCGGCCGCGTCTGGGTTCGTTTCTTTAGTTTTGGTAGGACTTTAAGGCCAGCAGCGCTCGCTTCTTCGGAGTCGGCGCTGTCTCTGCGGTAGTACATCAGGAGTTTGTACTTGGTTATCCGCAGCGATATCCCGGTGCTTTCAGTCTCGCGTCGTTTCGCCAGGTGTCTGCACAGCGCACGCAGCAGCTGTTGCGGCGCTCAATTCGTGGGGGAGCTGCGCGGCAGCGGGGGGCTGGGGAGGGGGGGGTCGGGTTTATGCGGCAGCGGCTGTAGTTGAGGCGTGGGGTGGCGGGACGGGCGCTGTTCTAAGTGCCGCCATGAAAGGCGTGTAACGAGGAGCAGAGTGGCGCAGCGGAAGCGTGCTGGGCCCATAACCCAGAGGTCGATGGATCGAAACCATCCTCTGCTAGCCTTAATTTTCGCTCTGGGGCGAACAGCCATATTAGCACGAGCGGCATTCGTGCTGAGCTGCGTTACCGGGCACAGCCGGGCCGCTCTGTGGGTCGGGTCGGTGTGTGGTCGGTCTGTAGTGCTGACGCGCGATGCGCTCGGTGCGATGGCGACAGAGCGTGCTGGGGCTCCTTTTATTCCAGCCCGGCGCAGTGCTTCAGTCCTGCAGTTTGTGTGGTTTGCCTGTCCCATCCGCTTCATGGCTCCCAGTCACCTTCTGTGGGTCAGTTCACGCCTGTGGTTGTGATACTGGTACGTGCATCTTCTCAACCAAAGAAAGCAGACAAACGATGCGTGAAAGCAAAACGGGCCTACAGATACGAAGTGAAAGTGAGTGCAGTAGTGTTGCAAGTCTCCGTTCAGGCTGTGTTTGTATTGGCAGTGACGCGAGAGAGGGCTTAGTGGTTTTGTTTAATGTTAAGGGGCTTCTGAAAGGGCATTGTTTTCACTGCTGTGATGCGTTGCGATAAAGGAACAGTGGGATTTGTCATGCGGACTGCAAGGGAAAACGAGAAGAGAGCCAAGGGGCTCCTTGATGTCTGACTCCCTCAACAGGAGTGCCTGGGAGACCGCTTCTGAGCGGTTCCATGGTGTAATGGTTAGCACTCTGGACTCTGAATCCAGCGATCCGAGTTCAAATCTCGGTGGAACCTGAGATTTTGTCCGGGAGGACATTTGGTGAGCGGCCGCCATCGTGGGGAAGTTGGGCGAATGGTTCGTTGGCTTTTGGAGTGCTGTGAGTTACTGACCTGTGCTGCCGAAATCAGGCGTAAAGCGGAAGAGTTTTCCCTTTTTTTTCTTCTGTTTTTTTTTTTTTGCGGGTATTTTTTGCATCTAAGTTACTGCATCGCTACGTGCCTTATCTGTGTAATTTCAGACCTGCTGCAGTGTGCTGAAATGTAACTAGTTCCTTTCTGTGCGATGAGCAACCCGTGTGAAAGCAGCAACTCGGTGCCAGCAGAACACGAGGCCGCCTGCTGAGCTCCGCAGCCCCTCCTGCTGTTCGTTTCACCTGTTTGAAAGCAGCAGTTTTCCTGCGCTGTTTCTCCCGGCAACCTCTGCCGCGTCCTGCAGTTAACAGTTCAGCTGTCGTCATCCTGTGTCGGACATCGAATGGAGCAGAGAGGCAGAAGGCGAGCGGTTGGGCTGCCATCAACGCTCTGTTCAGCGGTCGGTCATGGTGGGGAGTTTTACTGCTGAGCTTCGGTGGTAATTTATTATGCAGCACAGCAGAGCCGAGTGCCACCGTGCGGTTCTATGGTGTAATGGTTAGCACTCTGGACTTTGAATCCAGCGATCCGAGTTCAAATCTCGGTAGAACCTGGTGAAGAGGGGTCACTTTTTCACGGCGGCGCAGAGATGACTGAAGGAGGAGCGCGTCCGAGGAGCCCTGAAAGCGCTGAGAGCCCGGGGGGGGGGGGGGGGGAGCCTTTCCGTGGTGGCACCGGCAGTGCTGCTCTGTGTGTCTGAAAGGGGGCGATGCAAGATGCGCACTTTTGACAACACGAACAAGGGAGATTTTAATTTCCAAATAGTTCTCACCCAAACTTAATCAGGGCTTTCATTATTTTGCTAATTCGGTGCGTCTGGCTGTAGCCTCGCGTTGTACTCTGTGCAACTTCAGTAGTTTTACCTCTGCTTTGCTGCCACAAACCTTATTTACTTCTAAGTGCCTAAGGATGGCTCAATTTCCCAGTACCTCCTCAGCAGCTGTCCCTGCTTGCTTACATACGGGATTCAGCCCTGCTCTGTTCCGTTCTGAAGATCAGCTCAACCCTCTTTTACTTCCAGGTAACTATCCACTCCCTTACTGTCCATTGGAGAAATGCAGACCGCCTCCACAGCTAGCCCTTACTTTATGGAACTCAGAATCCTGCTTCAGAGAATTAATGAAAATGTTTGCAAAATTAATTACATCTTTGCCTGCCCTGCCGATGCACAACATCTCAAACTAACGTTGCACGCTGTAGCAGCACCCTGTTCTTTCAGCAGGGATTGATCCTGCTATCCCAAGGTAGATCTCTTTACTGCTCCTTGCGTGCTGGTGTTTTAAATGAGTGCTACATATAGCAGACTTCAGTGCAACCATCCAGCAGCGCAGACTTGCCCTACCAGCACCATCCTTCCCAGCTGAGAGCACTTCAGAGCCACTGGGTGCTCCTCTGCCTTCCAGTGATGCACTGTGTGTAGTCATAGAGAACACGTTACCATTTCCAGCTGCTGCCCAGAAACTTGTTCCCTTCAGAGCACAGCTGGAAGTGTCTCTGTAATCCCCAGCACTCATAAAGAGCTGATGCAGTGTTGCTGTTACAGCCGCATTCATATAAATTCAATCATTGTAGATCAGAACAAAGAGCACTTAAAGTCAAGTCCAATTTTACATGGAATGAGACGTGAGTTCATGATCCAGTATCAAGATTTATTAGGACGATTCATGGTCATGCTCCATTTGAACACAAAGCACTGCGGTTTCAGTAACTGAACATTATTATCCAGATGTAATCCAGTGGAGACCGCTACATACAAACATGTTTGTCACTCTGTTTCTCTCCCTCTTCTTTACCTGCAGTGGATAAACCAACACAAGGCTCTGTGGCTCAGGCAAACTCACTGGAAAAGGCAGAGCAAAATTACTTTACAACCCCTAGGAGCATTCTCAGCACCAGGTACTGCGTAGCCCAAGGTACCTATTGCTCAATGTGTTCAAGTCAGTTATACCTTAAGGCAGCTTCCAAATTAAAATTTAGCATTTCCAGTTACCCTCCCCCCATCCCTTCATTGTACTCCTTTCTAAAAATCACCTGGAGGCAGATCTCTCAGCACAACATTCAACTGAGAAGTACAGCACTACGGCTGCCACCAACTGTTCCCTCACTGCTGAAAAGCAGCAGCAATGAAGATTATTATTATTTACCAAAAAAATGATCAGATCTAAGTGATGCTGTAGCTTCAGAAACTGTAGCTAAAACTATGTATTGTCAGCAATGACAGACATGGCAAACGTGGACTTAACAGCCAGAATCGAGTCTCAGGCAAGTATTCCACTATAGGCAAAGCTGCAACAAGGCTGTCTAATATATGTTAAAATCTCACTGAAAGAAGGTAAAAGGACAAAGGCTAATTAATGTTAAAAGGTCATTAAAATAAAGCCCAACTGGCACATTAAAGAAGAGTTCTAAAAATTTAAAATCAGTTTTACTCCAAGTCTTACAACACAAAAAGGACAAGTCTCAGACACATCACTGTTATACATTCCAACTCGCCACTAGAAGCTGTGCAGCTCAACACCTCTGTCGCCTTCAAAAGGCTGCAGGAGACATTTGCTACTGGGTCTGTACACTGCTATCTCAGTGCATTACAACACGAAGTAGAGGGAAGAAACGGGGTGGATTCAACTGAAAAGGGTTGGCTTTTGGTTGTGCTGAGCCACGTGCTCGCTTTGCAGAGCAGCGCAGCCAGGCTCACTGCAGGCACTGCGCTGCTCCTGGGGTCACAGCAGGGCGGCAGGCAGAGAACAGGGGCAGCAGTGGCCCAGGTTGTGCAAACAATCCAAGGGTACCTTTTCAGAATTGAAAGGCAGCGCTTTTGAAATTTAATGACGGTTTCATCAGAAAAGCAAACAACGCTATCGTACCATTTTGTCCAGTACACGCACATAAAAAATAAGCACACTATACAAAGATGGAAGCAATATAATTTAAACATGGCATCAAGCTATAAACCATATATACATAGAAACGTATGCCTGTACAAACAGAACGAGACCACTTTGTTACAAGTTATTTCTTTCTAGGGAAGTTCTTGGAGGAAATCATGACGGAAAGAAAAGGAGACTGAATGGGTGAGGTGTTGCTTCCAGAAGCAGGCTGTTCAGACTTCTATGCAACACCACCATCTGGCCTCAGCATTTATGGAGATTTTGGCTATGCCTGGGTCTTCCCATGCTTCTGGACTCCCTTCCTGTACAGAGGTAGATTTCTGTAGATGTCCTGATATTGCACCACATAAGAATAAGGTTTTTATTGAAACAAGGAACAACTTACAAAGGCTGATTTACTGGAATAATCTCATTGTGTGCCTTCAGATAGAGCAGTAATCCAATTCACGTGCATTGGAAAAAACATCCCTCCAAGTGAGACGTTCTATTTAGTTGGAGATCCAACTAAAACATCAGTTCTGTTAACAGCTTCACATTCAGCTCTCTCGGCATCAGGGGAACTCAGGACTCTGTGCTTGAGCCTCTGTTCTGCCACTGCAAACACCTGCACTGCCTTTACTGATGCCTTTATCACATCCACTGCGTTCAAGTCAAATGCTGATTGCAAACAGACACAGGTTTTTGCAGTACTGGAAGTGATGCACAGAAGCAGCTGCACAGCTAGGACATTTGCAAGATGCATTCAAACGCTTCCTGAAACAACTGAAAAAAGCTGAGCTGTATTTTCAGACTAGAAAACAATCTGAAACTTTGCTAGCTAAAAATAATAATAATCCATTAATCAAGAACAAATTTGATGCTATTAGGATAATCTGCAGATGTTTGGCAATAGGTTGATGTTCAAGATTATGGTGGACAGAACAACTCTGATCTCTGTGAAGCTGCAGAAGTGTTTGCACACAGATACGACTTTAAGACGTTTGCTAAATAAAAAGCATACCAAAAATGGCACACCTGAAAAATAAGGACACCAAAATTAATGACGCCAGTGCAGAACAATTTGACCTCACAAGCACTGCTAAGTAGTTTTCCAGAAGCACTCCATGAAGTTACTCTCACAGAAGTCCATCGTGGAGATAAATTAAAAGGAATAATATGGTTCTGTGTAGTGAAAGATGAGATGGAAGTGCTGTAAATCTGGCTCAGCAGATCTAACAAAGCTGTTGTGCACATGCTCACATGGCAGCACATCTGCACATTTTGCTTCCATAAAGAACTGCAGGTAAGCAGCATCATTCTTTCTAGCTGCAAGTTTATAAGAAAGCTTAAGAGGAATAGTTCTTTCTGTACCAACCAATTTGCAAGTATTTTTATGTGAAGGATTGCATTACAACCACTTAACATTAATTTCTCGTGTTCAGTCTATATGAAGTATCTTGTTCCCTACAAAAGGTTTTACCAGTAAGGAACAGTGACTAGTTTGGAACTGAAAAGCATTTGCTCAAATACAGACAGAAGGCATGTATAAATTCCTTACATCTCTCCATATACACACTTGTCCAAGTTGCGGAGTTATTTTAACAAGACGACAAGTAAATCCCAAGTTAATAACAATTGGAATAATATAGTAATTCATGATGACTGTTCCCCCAAGAAGAAAACTGCACACTGTGGAGTAGGAGAAGGTGATGTCGCCTGCAAAAAAATCAATTTGTGAAGCAGTGGGAACCCTCAATCTGGAGTATCTCAGCATTGCACTCCCTGCACCTGGCAGAAAGTGCTCGTGTACCTTGCAAGATCACATTCTTGAATGAAGAAATCCATTATACACAGGAGACAACAAGCAGTAAGAGCTTACAGACAATGGCAGGAACCCAGCAGGAGCCAGGGCTCTTGGAGACTTCTGGTTTTGTTTGCAAAAAGCAATGGTTCTTCATGGCAAACGATCCACAATTTGGAAAGCATCTCATCTGTACACTTGGCTAGTGCATAGCGTCTGCAATTGCATAGAATGTTTCCAGTGCTCAATCTGTAACTAATTTAAGCAAATATTTGGGAAGATTGATTTGTTACCATTTGATATCTAAGTTGCTTGCTGTTTGATTTACTGCACTGTATTTGGTGTGCAAAGCTTCCTGGACCTTCCTGGAATCCATGCCTTCCAGCCAGTCCTGGTACATCTTTTGTACGTACGCGTTGGCTTCTGGAAGTCTGACAGGTATTGCAGCATAGACATCCTCCATCTGGCTAAGCAGTGCTTTATCTGGTTTTCCATCTTCAGTTTGTGTCTGGCCTTTTCCATTTAGGCACCCTTATAAAATAAAAAAAAAAAGGAGTAAGGCACAACAGTGATGAGGGTTTGATATGAGATTTGAATTTTTTTTTCCATACTGCTCTACAGAAAGTAGCTTGAATTTCTATATACTTCATGTGAGTTCAATATCAACATCTTGATGAAGTCTCCACATCACTCTTTCCCTGCCTCCTCTGTGGCTTTATGATCTTAATTATGTGCCTTGTCTTTTCTTGCCCTTGACAACCACTGTTTCAGAGTATTCCCTCTGAAGTTTTAAATAATCACAGGAGAAGCCATGTTGTCTTTTATTTATAGATCAGAAGAGAGCAAATAATGTTATGGTTAATTTTAGAAAATCCAATCAATTTCTCAGCCAATCCTGTACGTGTATAATTGGTGTTCTGGACTATTTACTAAGTATTGAGCATTTTAGGTTATTGAGAAGAGAATTAAGGAATGAAACGAAGTGCCTGGCTGTCAGACAAGCTTTCTTTGAGATCCGAGCTGTGTGTGCAATGCCTGTGGATCCGTGAGCATCCTTACCTCCTGGGCAGGCGAGGACTTCTACAAAATGGTATAAAAACTTTCCTTTCTTCAACTTCAGAACCATGTTTTGGATATTCCGAAAGCCATAAGCTGCTGCAAAACGCAGCACTGTCTCACCATCCTTTTCAAGGGTAACTTCCTGAAAGTCTTTGTTCCTATGAAGATACGAAGGTTTTCAAAGCCCTACGTTACCAAAGGGATGATCCAGCTGTCAGCTCGTATTCAGATGCTTGAGAGAGCAGAATAAGGATAACAAAAAATGCAAACTTCCAGTTTCTACACTGAGTGAAACAGAAGTTGCAGTGGAATTTTCAGGACAACAGTAGTAGATAGAAACTTATAAGAACTACTAAGTTATTAATACAACAGAATCTAAAAAACAACTATTTTACAGCAGCAAATTTATGTATTTATAATACATTAAGCTCCCACCAATGAGAGAGTAAGGTTACAATAAGGGTTCACTGTGTGTTAGCTAGCCCATCCTGGCTAACAAGGACACAAGCTTGCTTACTTTAATGCTCTGTAGGTGATTTCTTTGACATCCATGCCAAAAAGCTCCTTTGCAGCATGTTTAAAGATGTGCTCCAGGTACCCATCAGATCTCTTCCCATCATGCCTTACCACATCGCCCTCCTTTATCTCTCCAAACCTTAGGAAACAATAAAGAGATCAACTCCAACATTTCATTCCTTCTCTTTGAGGTGGTAGCATGTTTTTTTCCTTCTCTTCTTACCAACCCCAAAAAAGGGTTTTAGAACAGAGACTGAGAACATATCTGAACTATCAGGGATGTGGTAAAACTAGTTTCAGGAAGGAATGTTCCACTTCACATTAATAGAGTTTTACATTTACATTGAATACGAGCAAAAGTTTTGTTACTTGCCATCAAAATAAGGAAGCAATCCACAACAAAGCTACTTACAAAGTATCTACAGCTACTTCAGTCACATCTTTCATAGACACATTTTTCTGCTCCATTATTTGGACAATTTCACCTGTAGAAAAATGCAGGGCGTTTTACTTTCAGTGCAAAGCAAAATGCAGATGCTGTGCTTCTGTTTAAGAGCTCTACACCCCACGTGCTTACAGTCACATTCTCCAGTTCTTAATAGTCAGTTACCTCCAATAACTGAGGAGCCTGACACTTCCAGCCCTGAAGGAAAGGGCCTTCAGCTTCCCCCAGACTTTGCAAAATGCTACCTAGCTTTTCTGTAGGGTCAAGTCTGGCTAACAGGAGAATGCTAAAGCAGCCTTGAAAGAAAAACAAATGAACAACAACAAAAATACCAATCACAAAGCCTGTATAAATGCTATTCTAGCACAGGAGATTTGGGAATGTCTTTAGAAATAATAAAGGCTTAACCTGATGTTAGAACACAATCAACTTCTTGGGAGTTGTACAAGGCAGTGTAGAAGTCCTCCCTCAAGGCTTCCAGTTTTTTGTCATAACAAGGTGCCACAACTACATGGAAGATTTTTTCTGGAGACAAATTCTGCAGAAAAGAGAGCTTGTGTTAATTCCATGAAGAACAAAAGAAAGCTTGAAGGATGCCAAGCTAAAAATAACACCCAACTAATATTAGACATCAGTCCCTAGCAATAAGTTCGAGGGCTGCAGCACAGAGAGATTGAGTAGCTTGCCAGAACTTGGAAGTGTCAGCAACAAGTCAGTGTTCTGTCTGAAACTTCTACTTATTCCTTCACACCACAGAACGTGCAGCTTTTGTAGCTGTTGACTGCATTAAAGATGAGCGCAAATTAAGATTTCTATTTCAGAATTCTATTTTCTACCTCTGTCACTCATTCTCTTCCATATTCAAGTTCACCAACGTTTCTGTATCTGTGCAGAAATAGCAATACTTTTCTATATAACCTGGAATATGGGTAAGTGTACAATATGTAAAAGGAATAGCAACCTTTTTTTCAACATAAAAAGTTGAAAAAATAAAAGGACACAGGATTTGTGTCCAGGACAATTCCAGGACACAGTGCTTTCCACTGACCATGCACAACCCAGCAATTTCTACAGCGCTCTCCTCTACTCCCGTTTCAGCTGCTGCAGAACTACACAGGCAGCATTTTACAAGGATCTCTTTATCTACCCCAGATTTAATTTAGCCATAATATCTAAATCCACATTCCAGTGGCAGCACAAGGATTACTGCCAGCTCACACTGCAGCACATTAAATAAGAGTCTTTGTACATTCTTCATATCACGGACCCTCACACGGCAGTGGAGCAGCATTTATTCTCCAAGTGAAAGAAAATTCAGAAGATTCTGTAACACTTTAGAGGACACCAAGCTCTATGTTTCTATATTAAAACATTCTAGCCCATCTGTTCAATAGCATAAAGGTAAAAACAAAGCAGAATTACTAACCTGCTGCCTGGCAAAATAGCCCTTTACCAGGGAGCCCATGATCTGCTGTGGAGACTTTGCAGTGCAAATGTGGGGGGTCACGAGGTTGGTAAGAACCCTTTCTGCATACCGGATCCAACCTAGAGCAGCAGCAAGGCACCATTAGAGAATTAGGTGACACGTAAGCATGGCAAGGTGACATTAATAGAACTTCACAGCAGGGAGAACATTTCCACCTTGAAAATGAAGTCTGCATAGGCTGGAGGCTCCACTTTCGGACCTACCAGAAACCTCAAGGCTCTGTTAGGAATGCTTTACAACTGGCTATCAATAATCCACTGTGGCATTAACTCGAGACCCAGAAACCTCTGTGAATTGCATGACCTATGAAATTCTTTCTAATGCATAGATTTAACAGAGCAGAAGGAACAAGATCCCAGCTAATGAAGACTAAGTTGACTTCCTAGATTTCAGCCCTTGGATCAGCAGATACTCCAACAAGTGCACTCTGTTCAGCAGCTTAACTGTAACTCTCCATTTCCTGAGATTTAATATCTGCACTCCTAGTCTGCTTTGTCTAGAACAGAAGTCACATGAAAGCATGACCACAAGATGAATATGGATTAAGCCTATTTAAAAAAAAAA